TGGCTGGGGAATTCTGGGAGTTGAAGTCCACTCATCTTAAAGTGGCCAAGTTTGGACAACACTGGCATAGACTATTTTGTTATTTCGTCAGGTCAGGGGGCACAAAATTAAACTGATTCTATGGGCTGAACTGACCAGCCTGCATATGCTGTGAGTATTATTTGAGAGAGTCTGATCTTTTACAAAATGGACTTGTTTAGGAGTTGGAGGTTTGCACCACATAGTACTTTTCCCCTCTCTGTGCAGCACCTAGTCAGATCCAAATGCAACTAAAACCTGCTCCATGAACCTCCCCAAAGCCCTGTTACTCTGGAGGCTCCATAAGAGGCCGAAGCAGTTAAGCTTCTAGGCAGACTTCAGTCAATATGGCACAATTATGTTTATTGATAAGGACCACGGTAACAACGCAAAGCTTAGTCACATGTAAAGCTCAACCACATCTTCACCGGGCTGCAGAAATTTACCTCTGTGGTTGTATAAACAGCTACTTTCTCTTGTTCGTCACATTCATTGGGACATCTCCAAGATTATGCAAGAGAGGAAGAAGCAGACATTCTCTCTCCCTACTATCTTCCATTATTCATGGTTTTAAATATGTTTATCAAATCCCTCCTACACATTGCTCTCTTATTAGATTAAAACAGTCTTTTCTTTGGCCTTCGGTTAAAGCGAAAGTGCTTTATCTCTCTGATCATTTTAATCACTCTTTTTCACACATTTCCTAACTCTGTTATAACCTTTCAGAGACGAAATTAGCACAGAGATTTAGTTTCTGATATAAGTAATCAGTTTCAGCAATCCCTGGGCTTAACAGAGGGCTCCAAGAAAATGTCAGAGCAGCCAGGTATTCATGCCTGAAGGATGTCTCACCAGCTTGTTCCAAAGCAATCATGGTTGCCTGCTCAATCAGGTCCCGTTCAATGAAGCTCCTAAAATCTTCGCTGTAAACGCTGAGGTCAGGGAGTTGGAATGTGTAGATGGGCATCTCCAAGGAGAAATGGTCATTGTTGCATTCAGTGGCCACATGAGAGCGAGCAAGAGAGACAATGGCGGAACTGGCATGAGATATTCCTCTAGAAAGCCTCTTCTCTGTGCAGGAGAACAAAGAAGGAAAGGAGCAAATGAGACCATCACCCACATCTATTTACTCAGCAGTTACTCCCACTGAGTTCAGTGGGGTTTATTTCCTAATAAGGGTGCTTAGGACTTCAGTCTTAAGGTTCATTCTCAGCATTTTATTTTGTCAGAGACAGAAAGTTCTCCCAACTATTCCATACTTCAGCTCACAATGCCAGAAGAATTGGTACACCCTACTCTTTGATGGGAGTTTGTCATGGAAGTCTAAGTTCCTGTATATTCACTCAGTTATATATTATACAAGTCCAGTCTGAGTGGAAAACTAAAAAAGACAATACACCTTTGCTCTCACATAATTTTAAAAACTGGCTTACGAGCTGGAGTATCCCAGGGGATAAAAACTTTTCAAAGATCAGTATCACCCAACAATCAGAAGAGAGGACAATAAACATGTAGCAGCCACCATGAAATAATGGCAGGTAGACTTCTCCTCTGCTTCCTGATTTCTCTTCAGCTTGTATAAAACTTTTGCCTTTCCCCAGATCATGATACATCTTTAATAATTATCCACTTTGAATTAAATTCATCACAGAGCCACCCCTTGACAGCACAATCATGGAATAAAGTCAAGTCAGCTTTAATCTTGGGAAGACAGGAGAAACGGTCAAGCTCAGATCTCAGCAGCACTGAAAACTAGGATGACATTTATCAAATGTGGCTTCAGAAGGCAGATCCTCCCTGTGCAGCTCAACTGATTATCAACCCCAAGGGATCAACTGATAGCCTTGTGGCAGACATAGAATCTAACACTGTTTTATTTAGTGCAAAACTAATCCTGGTTTTGCAATTGTCTGTAGCCTCTGAGCAGTGAGCTCTCTGGCCTGAAGATGGTGAGTCTGTAGCATCACAGCCTTCTCAATTAAGCCCACACATCTACAGGGTGGAGGTGTATTGACCAAGAAAACCTCCTATGGGAACAGTCCTTCTAAGCTCTGCATGATTTTAATTTTTGCTAGTTACCATGGACATTTTGAATTAATGATTTTTTTTTTTTTTGCTTACTGGGGATATTTTATTCTATTTGTGTTGCGTTGTTAAATACAGGGAGTTGTTTTTGAAACACAACGGTTTGCAAAACTGAGAGATAAATCCCCCCCCCCCCCATGCAAGCACTCTTTATGGATTCAACCGTTTCTGAAAGAGCAACAATGAGGATTCTAATTGGGGTGGGGTGGGGGTGTTACAACAGGGGTCTGCAACAGAAAAGCATTGCCTGGGAGACCAGTCTCCTTCATGGGGGAACCATTACAAGATGCTGGTGGGAGGTCTACATTGGATAAGTTGGGTGGGGAACCTCTGTGTGGAGAAGGTGGTCCTGAAAGAACCTCAGCGCCAAGTCCTGGGGAGTTCTAGAGGTCAAACCCAGCATGTTGCATTGCACCCAGAAGCATATCAATAATCCATGCAGTGACCGTAAAACAGCTGTTACAGGACTATTGGTTCGCTAATATGCAGACCCAGTTGAAATTTTGGAGGGCTCTTTAGAAGCAGCCCCAGCAGAAGGCGTCGTAGCAATCCGCCTTACCTTGAGAGATGTCCTCCTGCCTAGGAAGAGACAGCCGCTCACTCTTGCTCATCGGTTGTGAAGATTCCTTGTCCTGCTGCTGCTGTGGCTGCTGTTTCGAATACCTTCCTTCGTTGAACACCTGGGGCAGGTTCGCTGTATGCACCTGCCTAAGCTGTTCATAGTCACTCAGAGCAGCAGTGAAATCCCAGTTTTTGCCTAAAAACACAGGAAAAGGGGGCAGGGTTGACTTTCACAGGCTCGCTCGTGGCCAGACTGATGTCTGTGACGAAGAGCCACAGGCAGCAATTGTTTCAGATTAATTGAGTGAGAGTAAAAGGTACCAATGTAAAAGTAAAAGTTAGCAAGGGTATTCCCTGTGACACTCTGTGGAAGCGAAAGTTGGACTTTGAAGAAGAGGACTGACACTTTTGAACTTTGGTGCTGGAGAAGACTCCTGAGAAGACCATGGACAGCTAAGAAAACAAACCAACGGATCGTTGAACACGTCAACCCAGAGTTCTCACTCCAGGCACCAATGAGCAAGCTTAAATTATCCTGCTTCGGACACATTATGTTAGTGTTGTCCAAACTTGGCCACTTTAAGATGAGTGGACTTCAACTCCCAGAATTCCCC